TCTATATCTATATATATATATATATATATATATATATATATAATATAATATTATATATTATTATAATTAATATATATATATTAGAACAATATATAATAATATATGTACATATCCATGCAATATAAACCCTATTTAGAAGTGAGGCATGGTAGGGTCCCTTCCGGCAAAGTCGGTTGGAGATGGGGGTAAAAAGGTTTGTGAATGCCCTTCGACAATTCCAGCACACTCACAGATCGTTAGATAGGTCAAAGTACCATTCGTTCATTGACTACATCTATTTGGAAGTGTGAGCAGTAATATTTAGTAGATTCAGTAATACTTATTTTTTATATAGTATGGTCTAAATGGAATACAATGCCTGCATTATATAGAGGTTTGGGATATTAGTTTAGATATGATTTATATATTATATATTTATGCTCTGACTGTTGTGATACGACCGACCTTTTGCAAAAAAAAAAAAAAAAACAATATATATGTCGATGTGTAAATGTTAATATATAAATATATTTCTTTTGATTTTCTTATTTTTATGTATCTAGAAATTGTTATAAATATAAAATAAAAAAAAATAAAAAAAAAAAATGTACATTAGTAAAACTAAAACCTGATATCCATGAAGTATTCATCATAGATTTAAATATTTCTCTATGAACAAAAGCAAGTAACACAAATATAATTCTGAACCCCCCTACCTCTATTAAACAGATCATAAACAACTGAAGTTCATTACTCTTTCAGAGCATTAACCTTTAACTGTGATACCCTTCAATGGGATTATCAAAATCTTTTTTTCTGTCAGGAAAATATGAATTAAAAAAAAAAATAATTTTACATATGACATGACAATTGATTTAAATGAGCCTAATAAAATTTCCTCAAACAAGGTTCTTCAATTACAGACAAGCCACAAATATACACGTATTTAATCAGGAATTACAAAACCCCACAGGCAAACATAACATCACAGCCAAGTTTTTCCATGACACAAAAAAAGTGACTTCTTTCCAAGTCTTACATTGTGGCAGAGTTGCCTTTACCTCTGTTGCTGCCTTGTGATTGTGAACAACTGGAACATGTTTATGGTCAACATTTGTTAACCTACTTCATGAGATCATATGTTGAACCAAAACACTTCTGCTTACATACTGTGGATTCACTTAGCTATTGCAAGCAAGGTATTCAACAAGAGTCACATCTGCCGTAAATGTATCACTCATACTCTATGGAAGCTAAACCCACAAAAAAAAAAAAAATGACATTCACATAATAATTGTAAGCATTTTGTGTATGCAATATACAAGATAATAAAACAATGTACAATATGCAGCCATATGCACACACAAAACTCATTGACCATTTCCTACTAAGGCAAGGAAACACAAGAAAAGCCTTAATTCAACAATTTCCTTCCTTATGTTTTGTTTGAAAAAAAAAAATACAAGAACCCATGACCAATTTGCTGAGACAAAAGCTGAAGATTATACTGATGTCTTGACTCCTTCCTAAGGAAAATAAGCTGGGATGACCCCTTCCAAAATAGTGGATGAAATCCATCGGGTGGGAAAATCTAAGATGACCACAGTAGGTAATCCAACTTTATATCAAAATATCAGGCTACAAGATTCAATTATACTCTAAAAATGTCTCCTACTAGAATTTCCTATATTTTAATGCAGTTTTTTTTTTATTTCAAGTGCTTGATAATGTTGAAAGAAAAATGTTTAAGCCAAAGACTAAGGGATGAAAACAAAGGAAATACTTATGCATTGTGTGACAAGTGCAGTGAAGGCGGTGAGTATCCTCATGATATATGGTTCAAACTGAAAGACAGTTCGCAAGTGGAACAATTTAAGTAAATAGTAGGTAGTAGGTTGGTAGACAGCAACTGCCCAGGGAGGTACTACCGTCCTGCCAAGTGAGTGTGAAATGGAAACCTGTACGTAATTGTTTTACATGATGGTAGGATTGCTGGTGTCTTTTTTTTTTTTGTCTCAAACATGCAAGATTTCAGGTACAACTTGTTACTTCTACTTACACTTAGGACACATTACACTTGCATTTACAAGCATTCATACATACATACATACACACATACATATACATACACATATACATATTCATACACAAATACTTATACATACACACATACATATATATACATACACACATACATATACATATACGTACATACACACATACATTTTCTTCTTTCAACAAACTGGCCATATCCCACCAAAGCAGGGTGGCCCAAAAAGAAAAACGAAAGTTTTTCTTTTTAAATTTAGTAATTTATACAGGAGAAGGGGTTACTAGGCCCTTGCTCCCATACACATACATATTCATACACACATACATATTCATACACACATACATATATATATACATACACACATACATATACATATTCTTCTTTCAACAAACCGGCAGTATCCCACCGAGGCAGGGTGGCCCAAAAAGAAAAACAGAAGATTCTCTTTTCAAATTTGGTAATTTATACAGGAGAAGGGGTTACTAGCCCCTTGCTCCCGGCATTTTAGTTGCCTCTTACAACACGCATGGCTTACAGAGGAAGAATTCTGTTCCACTTCCCCATGGAGATAAGAGGAAATAAATAAGAACCAGAACTAGAAAGAAAATAGCAGAAAACTCAGAGGGGTGTGTGTATATATAAACTTGTACATGTATGTGTAGTGTGACCTAAGTGTAAGTAGAAGTAGGAAGACGCACCTGAAATCTTGCATGTTTATGAGACAAAAAAAAAGGACACCAGCAATCCTACCATCATGTAAAACAATTACAGGCTTTCGTTTTACACTCACTTGGCAGAATGGTAGTACCTCCCTGGGTGGTTGCTGTCTACCAACCTACTACCTAGAATACATACATATATACATACATATATACATACATACACACACACATATACATACATGCACATACACCTCTCTGGGTTTTCTTCTAGTTTTTTACTAGTGCTTCTTGTTTATTTCCTCTTATGTCCATGGAGAAGTGGAATAGAATTCTTCCTCTATAAGCCATGCGTGTCGTAAGAGGTGACTAAAATGCCGGGAGCAAGGGGCTAGTAACCCCTTCTCCTGTATATATTACTAAATGTAAAAGGAGAAACTTTCGTTTTTCCTTTTGAGCCACCCCGCCTTGTTGGGATACGGCTGGTGTGTTGAAAGAAAGCATACATATTCATACACACATACATCTACATACACACATACACATACAGTGGACCCCTTGCTTATGATATTATTTCATTCCAGAAGTATGTTCAGGTGCCATTACTGAACGAATTTGTTCCCATAAGGAATATTGTGAATTAGATTAGTCCATTTCAGACCCCCAAACATACACGTACAAATGCACTTACATAAATACACTTACATAATTGGTCGCATTGGGAGCTGATCGTAAAGCGGGGGTCCACTGTACATACACACATACATATACATACATATATATACATATATACATACATACACACATACATATACATACATACATGCACAAACACCTCTCTGGGTTTTCTTCTAGTTTTTTACTAGTGCTTCTTCTTGTTTATTTCCTCTTATGTCCATGGGGAAGTGGAAAAGAATTCTTCCTCCGTAAGCCATGCGTGTCGTAAGAGGCAACTAACATGCCCAGAGCAAGGGGCTGGTAACCCCTTCTCCTGTATACATTACTAAAGTAAAAAAAGAGGAACTTGCATTTTTCTTTTAGGACCACCCTGCTTCAGTGCGATATGGCTGGTTTGTTGAAAAGAAAGTTTTATAATATTTACTGGAATATTCCCCACCCAATTTTTTTTCCCACTGTACCTGTATATTCCATGGATCAAAGAATGTAAAAATGAGTTAAATCTGACGAGAGGAATTTGTTTTAGGTTGTCCAGGAACTGCCACTTTACACAATGATACTTTTGCAAGTGCTAATACTTCCCATGAGACCAATGTAGTGTTTGCTCAATGAGAAAGAGTTGGAAACAATGATAAGTCTGGTGTTAAGCAATAGACAAACACAGGCAAGGCCAGTAATTTTTGAAGACACTGCCTTGACACTACTTACCTTAGTGGCATAAATGATAGTCACTAATGCAGAAGACACTGAAATTTTGGTCCTTGCTGTGTGTCACACACAAGACAGGTAACATTTTAGGAATTAAAAGAAAAAGTATGTTTAATTGTACATAGTTCTGTACAATTAAACATACTTTTTCTGATTTTCATAATTACAAATCCACATTTATTTGCTGGATCCGATTCAGCTTCTTTAACTAAATGAAAGAGAGATAGTCTATGATAAAACATAGTAGTCAAAAGAGGACCATAAGCTAATGGAATCACTTGTTACCACACTTCCTGTTTCCTAAATACCTTGAAAATAGGATAAAATACACTATAAATGTGTCTAGATAAGGTCACAAATCCTTTAGACAAAGAAAGAGCTTTGAAGAGAAAATAGAGAGGAAGTGAACAATTTAGAATCCCATAAGATGACTCCCACAGCCTCAAACTGAAAGAGCAAATAGTTAAGTGTACCTTCTCAGTCATTTCAGGCCTGACAGCCCGCCCTCTCAACTCAAGCACGGGTGACTTGTTGATCCACTATATGAAAAGCAAGAGCCAAGATGTAGTTTAATTACTTAAAGCAGCCACTTTGGATCTGACACCTAACAAACTTAGCCCACTGTCCTTACAGTCATTAAAAGAAAAATCAAGAAATCGGTAAATATTTTCCAAACTTTGTCCCAGTGAATTATTTGTGGATTCTTAAGATTTTCTATCATTTGATTAAGTACAGGTAAGGGGTTACCAGCGCATTGCCTGGCATTTTAGTCCCCTATTACACACACAACTTACAAGAGGATATACTGTACTCTTAATTTAATATTATATATAATATATATATATATATATATATATATATATATATAATATATATATATATATATATATATATATATATATATTTATATATGCATTCATACAAACAGTATATTATTTGAAAGAAAACTTAATGGTACTAGACCACAGGCAAACTTTTATCAAGTGTTTCACTGAGCTAATAGGTGTTAAAGCCAATGAAGTAAATACTGTACTTTGATGGTGGTTCAACCTGATGGCTCTTGAGACATCCACTGTGCATGCCCAAGAAGAACCAATTTTTCATTCAGGTGCACATACTGAAAGGTACAACATTGTATTAATAAACCATTTATCTGAAAAAATCAACACACAATCTTAAAAAATTTATTTTCTTACAGCAACACTTCTCAGACATAAGAGGTACATTCAACAATGGCTAGTTCAGCAAATACAGTAAATAACATTTACATTATTTCTTTAACATTAACCCTTAAACTGTCCAAACATAGATCTACATTTATGTGCGTAGTGCTCCGACCTTGATTTTCTCCATTTGAAAGCATGTAAAAAAAATGTAGATCTATGTTTGGAGGGCTACACAAGCGAACGCACATCTACTTTTGGACAGTTTAAGGATTAAATAACAACCAAGTTTCACATTCTGTAACTGCAGGTAACACCATAATTTTTTTCCAATGACACAATGGAAAAAATGGTGATTTATATATCTGGACACCATTCATCCATGTTAATGTTGAATTTTCCCACCCTGAGCTACCAAAGAATGTACTACTGAAAAATATTCCTGCCCCATAAATACAAACTGATCTAATAGTCTAGTCTAAAAAAATTATCCTAGCATATCAATGCACTCAGCAGACAGTGGATCAAGCATCCAGGACGTCTGATGAACCACACTGGTTTAGGGCTTAACAGGAATTAGAGAGATCAATACAAAAAATGGACATTAAATATCCACATAACTAAAAGTCATAAGTATTACATACTCATATGGGTAGCGAGGGGCTGAAGAGGGATGGGATAGTTTTAAAAATGCAGTATTAGAATGTGGGCCAGAAGTTTGTGCCTATAAGAGGGTGGGTGTAGGAGGAAAGATTAGTGATTGGTGTAATGATGAAGTAAAGGGCATGATAAGAGAAAAAGGTAGCTTATGAGAGGTTTTTACAAAGTAGAAGTAATATAAGAAGGGCAGAGAATATGAAGAGTAAAAGAAAGGTGAAGAGAGTGGTAAGAGAGTGCAAAAGGAGAATAAATGATAGAGAGGGAAAGGCTTTGTCAATAAATTTTGCTGAGAATAAGAAAAAATTTTGAAGTGAGATAAACAAGCCTAGAGAACAAATGGATTTGTCAGTTAAAAATAGAGTAAGAGAGTTAGTAGATGGGGAGTTGGAGGTATTGGGCAGATGGCGGGAATACTCTGAGGAACTTTTAAATGTCGATGAAGAAGGGGGGCAGTAATTTTATGCACTGGCCAGGGAGGTATAACATCTTTTAGGAGTGAAGAAGAGCAGGATGTGAGTGTGAGGGAGGTGCATGAGGCATTACACAGAATGAAATGGGGTAAAGCAGCAGGAACTGATGGAATCATGATAGAAATGTTAAAAGTGTTGGAGTGGTTGGTATTTTTGTTTAATTTGTTTAATGAAGGGGTGGGAGAGTTTCAGTGGAGAGGAATAAATGGGATTAGGTCAGGGGTTTCAAATAGAGTTAGAGCTAAAGAAGGAGTAGCAATAATGTTGAAGGATAAGCTATGGCAGGAAAAGAGGGACCATAAATGTATTAATTCAAGGATTATGTGGAGTAAAATAAAGATTGGATGTGAAAAGTGGGTTATAATAAGCGTGTATGCACCTGGAGAAGAGAGAAGTGTAGAGGAGAGAGAGAGATATTGGGAAATGTTGAGTGAATGCATGGGGAGTTTTGAATCAAGTGTGAGAGTAATGGTGGTTGGGGATTTCAATCCTAAAGTGGGTAAAAATGTTATAGAGGGAGTAGTAGGTAAATTTGGGGTGCCAGGGGTAAATGTAAATGGGGAGCCTTTAATTGAGCTATGTGTAGAAAGAGATTTGGTAATAAGTAATACATATTTTATGAAAAAGAGGATAAATAAATATACAAGGTATGATGTAGCACGTAATGAAAGTAGTTTATTAGATTATGTATTGGTGGATAAAAGGTTGATGGGTAGGCTCCAGGATGTACATGTTTATAGAGGGGCAACTGATATATCGGATCATTATTTAGTTGTAGCTACAGTTAGAGTAAGAGGTAGATGGGAAAAGAGGAAGGTGGCAACAACAAGTAAGAGGGAGGTGAAAGTGTATAAACTAAGGGAGGAGGAAGTTCGGGTGAGATATAAGCGACTATTGGCAGAAAGGTGGGCTAGTGCAAAGATGAGTAGTGGGGGGGTTGAAGAGGGTTGGAATAGTTTTAAAAAATGCAGTATTAGAATGTGGGGCAGAAGTTTGTGGTTATAGGAGGGTGGGGGCAGGAGGAAAGAGGAGTGATTAGTGGAATGATGAAGTAAAGGGTGTGATAAAAGAGAAAAAGGTAGCTTATGAGAGGTTTTTACAAAGCAGAAGTGTTATAAGAAGAGCAGAGTATATGGAGAGTAAAAGAAAGGTAAAGAGAGTGGTGAGAGAGTGCAAAAGGAGAGCAGATAATAGAGTGGGAGAGGCACTGTCAAGAAATTTTAATGAAAATAAGAAAAAATTTTGGAGTGAGTTAAACAAGTTAAGAAAGCCTAGGGAAAGTATGGATTTGTCAGTTAAAAACAGAGTAGGGTAGTAGTAGATGGGGAGAGGGAGGTATTAGGTAGATGGCGAGAATATTTTGAGGAACTTTTAAATGTTAAGGAAGAAACAGAGGCAGTAATTTCATGCACTGGTCAGGGAGGTATACCATCTTTTAGGAGTGAAGAAGAGTAGAATGTAAGTGTGGGGGAGGTACGTGAGGCATTACGTAAAATGAAAGGGGGTAAAGCAGCTGGAACTGATGGGATCATGACAGAAATGTTAAAAGCAGGGGGGGATATAGTGTTGGAGTGGTTGGTACTTTTGTTTAATAAATGTAATGAAAGAGGGGAAGGTACCTAGGGATTGGCGAGAGCATGTATAGTCCCTTTATATAAAGGGAAAGGGGACAAAAGAGACTGTAAAAATTATAGAGGAATAAGTTTACTGAGTATACCAGGAAAAGTGTACGGTAGGGTTATAACTGAAAGAATTAGAGGTAAGACAGAATGTAGGATTGCGGATGAGCAGGGAGGTTTCAGAGTGGGTAGGGGATGTGTAGATCAAGTGTTTACATTAAAGCATGTATGTGAACAGTATTTAGATAAAGGTAGGGAAGTTTTTATTGCATTTATGGATTTAGAAAAGGCATATGATAGAGTGGATAGAGGAGCAATGTGGCAGATGTTGCAAGTATATGGAATAGGTGGTAAGTTATTAAATGCTGTAAAGAGTTTTTATGAGGATAGCGAGGCTCAGGTTAGGGTGTGTAGAAGAGAGGGAGACTACTTCCCGGTAAAAGTAGGTCTTAGACAGGGATGTGTAATGTCACCATGGTTGTTTAATATATTTATAGATGGGGTTATAAAGGAAGTAAATGCTAGGGTGTTCGGGAGAGGGTGGGATTAAATTTTGGGGAATCAAATTCAAAATGGGAATTGACACAGTTACTTTTTGCTGATGATACTGTGCTTATGGGAGATTCTAAAGAAAAATTGCAAAGGTTAGTGGATGAGTTTGGGAATGTGTGTAAAGGTAGAAAGTTGAAAGTGAACATAGAAAAGAGTAAGGTGATGAGGGTGTCAAATGATTTAGATAAAGAAAAATTGGATATCAAATTGGGGAGGAGGAGTATGGAAGAAGTGAATGTTTTCAGATACTTGGGAGTTGACGTGTTGGCGGATGGATTTATGAAGGATGAGGTTAATCGTAGAATTGATGAGGGAAAAAAGGTGAGTGGTGCGTTGAGGTACATGTGGAGTCAAAAAACGTTATCTATGGAGGCAAAGAAGGGAATGTATGAAAGTATAGTAGTACCAACACTCTTATATGGGTGTGAAGCTTGGGTGGTAAATGCAGCAGCGAGGAGACGGTTGGAGGCAGTGGAGATGTCCTGTTTAAGGGCAATGTGTGGTGTAAATATTATGCAGAAAATACGGAGTGTGGAAATTAGGAAAAGGTGTGGAGTTAATAAAAGTATTAGTCAGAGGGCAGAAGAGGGGTTTGTTGAGGTGGTTTGGTCATTTAGAGAGAATGGATCAAAGTAGAATGACATGGAAAGCATATAAATCTATAGGGGAAGGAAGGCGGGGTAGGGGTCGTCCTCGAAAGGGTTGAAGAGAGGGGGTAAAGGAGGTTTTGTGGGCGAGGGGCTTGGACTTCCAGCAAGCATGCGTGAGCGTGTTAGATAGGAGTGAATGGAGACGAATGGTACTTGGGACCTGACGATCTGTTGGAGTGTGAGCAGGGTAATATTTAGTGAAGGGATTCAGGGAAACCGGTTATTTTCATATAGTCGGACTTGAGTCCTGGAAATGGGAAGTACAATGCCTGCACTTTAAAGGAGGGGTTTGGGATATTGGCAGTTTGGAGGGATATGTTGTGTATCTTTATATGTGTATGTTTCTAAACTGTTGTATTCTGAGCACCTCTGCAAAAACAGTGATAATGTGCGAGTGTGGTGAAAGTGTTGAATGATGATGAAAGTATTCTCTTTTTGGGGATTTTCTTTCTTTTTTGGGTCACCCTGCCTTGGTGGGAGACGGCTGACTTGTTGAAAAAAAAAAAAAAAATCTCCATGGGGAAGTGGAAAATTACTAAGTGGAAATTGCTAACTTAAAAAAGTAAAATTCTCATTTTTCTGTTTAGGTCACCCTGCTTCAGTGGGATAAGTTTGTTGAGGAAAAAAAAAAAAAAGCCTATTGAGTATACCAGGTAAAGTGTATGGTAAGGTTATTACTAAAAGGATGGGTAGGGGATGTGTAGACCAAGTGTTTCCTTTGAAGCATATAAGTGAACAATATTTAGATAAAAACAGGAAAGTTTTCAGTGCTTTTATGGGTTTAGAAAAGGCACATGACAGAGTGGATAGGAGAGCTATGTGGCAGATGTTGCAAGTATATGGAATAGGTACAAGTTACTAAAAGCTGTAGAGCTTCCATGAAAATATTGAGGTTCAGGTTAGGGTGTGTAGAAGAGATTTAGATAACTTTCCAGTAAAAGTAGGCCTTAGACAATGATGTGTCATGATTGTTTAACATATTTATAGATGGGGTTGTAAAAGAAGTATATGGTAGGCTGTGGGGAGAGGAGTGGGATTAAATTATGCAGAATCTAATACAAAATGGGAGTAGATACAGTTACTTTTAGCTAATTATACTGTGCTTTTGGGAAATTCTGAGAAGTTGCAAAGGTTAGTGAATGAGTGTGGGAAAGTGTGTAAAGGAAGTTAAATGTATATATAGATAAGAGTAAGGTGATGATGGTATCAAATAAGTTAGGCAAGGAAAAATTGGATATCATATCAGAGGGAGGAAATATGGAGGAAGTGAATGTGTTCAAATATTTGGAAGTGGATGTTTCAGCAAATGGGTATATAAAGGACAAGGTAAACCACAAAACTGATGAAGGGAAAAAGGTGGGTGGTGCATTTAGGTATCTGTGGAGACAAAGAACATTATCCATAGAGGAAAAGAAGAAAATGTATGAGAGTATAGTGGTACCAACACTCCTATATGGGTGGGAAGCATGGGTTGTGAATGTTTCAGCAAGGAGGAGGCTGGAGGCAGGGGAGATGTCAAGTCTAAGGGCAATACATATGTGGTGTAAATATTACACAGAGACTTTGTAGTGTAGAAATTAGGTGTAGAGCTATAAAAATATTATTCAGAAGCCTGGGGAGGAATTGAGGTGGTTTGGTTTGGCCATTTAGAGGCTGAAGCAAAACAGGATGACTTGGAGGGAGTATAAAACTGTAGTGGAGGGAAGGCAGGGTAGGGGTCACCCTAGGATAGGATGGAGGGAGGGGGTAGAGGAGGTTTTGGGTGCAAGGGGCTTGAACCTACAGCAGGCATGTGTGAGTGTGCTAGACAGGAGGGGAGATGAATGGTTTTAGGACTTGACAAGCTGTTGGAATGTGAGCAGGGTAATATTTTGTCAAGGGATTCAGGGAAACCGGTTAGCCAGACCAAGTCATGGAGGTGGGAAGTATAGTGCTTGCATTCTAAAGGAGGGGATTGAGACATCTGCTGTTTAGAGTGACATCTAAACTGTTGTATCTGCATGCCTCTGGCAAGACAGTGATAGTGTGAAAGATGATGAAAATGTTTCCTTTTCAGATGATCCTGCCTCAGTGAGAGACAGTCAGCATGTTATAAGAAAAAATACAAATTCTGAAGAATTTTTGTTTAACACATCGGTCGTTTCCCACCGAGGCAGGGTGACCCACCGAGGCAGGGTGACCCAAAAAAGAAAGAAAAAACTTTCATCATTCATACATAATCACTGTCTTTGCAGAGGTGCTAAGATATGACAGTTTAGATGTCACTCTAAACAGCCAATATCCCAAACCCCTCCTTCAAAGTGCAGGCATTATACTTCCCATCTCAAGGACTCAAGTCTGACTAACCGGTTTCCCTGAATCCCTTTACAAAATATCACCCTGCTCACACTCCAACAGCTCATCAGGTCTCAAAATCCAATTTTTTTTTATTTAATATCTAACACGCTCATGCACGCTTGCTGAAAACCCAAAGCTTCTTGAATACAAAGCATCCTTTACCCCCCCCTCCCACCAACCTTTCCTACGACGACTCCTAAACCGCCTTCCTTCCACTACAGATATATAAGCTCTCCATGTCATTCTACTTTGTTCCACCTATCTAAATGACCAAACCACCTCAACAAACCCCTCTTCAGCCCTCTGACTAATATTTAATGACTCCACACCTCCTCCTAATTTCCATACTATGAACTATCTGCATAATATTTACACCATGCACTGTCCTTAGACATGACATCACAACTGCCTCCAGCCTCCTCCTTGCAGCAGCATTTACAACCCATGCTTCACACCCACATAAGAGTGTTGGTACCACTGTACTCTCATACATTCCTTTTCTTGCCTCCATGGATAACGTTTTTTGTCTCCACAGATACCTCAAAGCACCACTCACCTTTTTTCCTTCATCAATTCTATAGATAACCTCCTTCTTCATAAATCCATCTGCTGACAAGTCAACCCCCAAATATCTAAAAACATTCATTTCTTCCAAACTCCCTCCCTCCAATGTAATATCCAATTTTTCTTTACCTAAATCATTTGATACCCTCATCGCCTTACTTTTATCTACGTTCACTTAACTACATTAATATTAACCAGCAAAAAAATAAAAAAAAATTACGAAGATGTATTCATTTAACCAAATCAACACAAATGAACAAACCTGATCACTGTCTCGCCGATAAAGATTGACTAGAGGAACGCCATCTTCAGTATATGAAACCACATTAGCGAAGAGAATAGTGTCACTCACAAGCTCCTCCATTACTGCTACAGAGGTATCATCTATAGGACAAACACAGAAAATGATTACTGATAACTCCAAGACAATCTTGTAGTTTATATACTCCATGAATAAGAAACAAAATTTTTGGTATGTCTTCATGTCATACATCATACTATAAATATGATACCATGCAGTGCACTGAAAAATGCCATTTCTTGTAATGCTGAACATCTATAAATTCATTATGACAATTACCTTCTGTTGCCTAAAAGAAAACTGGCAGCTGGCAAATAGTTTTTAGTATTAGGATGTACTAGAAGAAATATGCCCAGAAAAATAAATTCAATATAGATATATAAATACAGTGGCACCTCGAATTTCGGCCTTAATTTGTCCCAGAAGGCTGTTTGAGTGCTGTTACCAAACAAATTTGTTCCCATAAGGAATAATGTAAATTAGATTAGTCAGTTTCAGACCCCCAATAACACACTTACAAAAACACACTTACATAATTATTTGAGTTGGGAGCTGTTCGAAATTTGAGGTACCACTGTATACCTATACTGGGGAAGTGGAATAGAATTCTTCCTCTGTAAGCCATGCATGTCGTACGAGGTGACTAAAATACTGGGAGCAAGGAGCTAGTAACCCCTTCTGCTGTATACTTTACTAAATTTAAAGAGAGAAACTTTTGTTTTTCTTTTTAGGTCACCCTGCCTCAGTGCAATATGGTCGTTTGTTGAAAAAAAAAAAAAGTGAAGTTCAGGAAGAGGATAAACCAAAATATTAGCTCGCTGGTAATAGAGGCTGTGAGGGAGGTGGTACTGGCAGCATCAGTTCACAAAATATATCAATGTTCTCATAATTTATAAAAATTTTTGCACAAAAAGTGTTCATTTAGTTACCTCCATCAATGCTGCATCCAAATGCGAACCTGAAGCCATTAACTTACTCATACTGCAGGCATGATCAAAATATATATTTCACAAAATGCTATTAACTCTTTCAGGGTTTCGGACGTACTAGTACGGCTTACACACCAGGGTTATTGACGTACTAGTACGCCTAAATTCTAGTGCCTTCAAATCTAACCAGAGAAAGATGGTAGGCCTACATATCAAAGAATGGGTCTATGTGGTTAGTGTGCACAGTATAAAAAAAATCCTGCAGCACACAGTGTGTAATGAGAAAAAAAACTTTGACGGTGTTTTTGCTTTAAAACAGCGACTTTGCACTGTATTTTCGTATAGTATTTATTGTTGTATTCTAGTTTTCTTGGTCTCATTTTATAGAATGGAAGACATATTACAGAAATTGAGATGATTTTGATTGGTTTCACAATGAAAAGTACCTTGAAATTGAGCTCAAAGTAGCAGAAATGTTCAATTTTTGCCAAGGTTCAAAAGTAAACAAATCGTGCCACGCGTCCAATACACATCAACTGGTAAGTCTAATATTCTTTCACAAGTGAACTGATATTATTTATACCATTTCTACACTAATGCAGTAGTTTGCATAACTGTAAATCTTATTTTTTTGTGAGAATAAAAATTCAAAGTGGAAAGCAAAAGAAATGTAAGAGGGGCCTGGGGACGTGACTAATGAACAGAGGAAATGTTATTTTAGTGCCAGGAATGTCAGTCTTGTTTATTCTGGACCCTATTTGGAAATTGGCATCTTTTGAAATTTGTGTGAAATTGGCAAAATTGCTAATTTCTGACCACTTTATTGGATAGTTAAAATCAGTAAATGGGTGGTTTCTTGTACTCATTTGATAGAAATAATAGAGTTCTAACGAAATAGTTACGATTTTTGTCGACTAGTACACTGGAATTGGCTGAAAATAGGGCTCAAAATCGGCAAAATCGCCAATGTGTAAACATCATCGAGACTGCTAAATTCACGAGAGCATAATTCTGTAAGTTTTCCATCAAATTTCATACTTTTGGTGTCATTGTGATCGGGAAAAGATTCTCTATCTCTTCGTAAGAAAAAATAATTTTTTTTTTTCCGAAAAATTTTCGACCCTGAGAACAAGTTTAGGAGAGGGCCTCTCGACCCTGAAAGGGTTAATTAACACAATTCAGAAAAGTCCACAGCTCATTTTATGAGTTATCTTTGAGTAACCATCAAAATCTGTTAACACTGTATACCTATAATGTTTATATGCAAGATACAACAATGCAAATTCATTATATGGAAATCATCTGTAATGATAATTGAAAAAAATATACATCTAAAATAAAAACTTCAAACAACCTGGAACAATAATTATGCTAGGTCCACTGCACTGGTGATGCCAGCAGACACCATCTGCTCACACAAATTCCTCATGAATCAGACTTAGTCTGTTGCATCAAAACTGCTATTGGACACACTAAGAATAAATTGTAATACAGTACAGCCCAATAAATTTCCTTAAAATAAATGAGTTAAAGGTACAGTGCTACAGAGTACAATAATTTTTCTTACTTTTTGTGGTGGATTCATGAGTTTAAACTGATGTTAGATAAAATCTTAGTGTAATAAAGGTTGGTTTCTCAGAAGATTGCTTTGACTCATGAAATATCACAAGTCAGATTTATTCTAAGCACGTCCAATAGCATTTTTGATGCAACAAACTAAGCCTGATTCATGAGGAATTTGTCCATGAGCAAATGGTATCTGTTAGCATCATCAATGCAGTGGACCAAGTCTACTGCACAGGGCACTTTTGAGCAATGAACTTTTAATTAAGTGGATACCCCCTTCACCCTCTCATCCCCCATTAAATCATTAAATTGAGGTTTCACTATAATATCAACAGTCTTAAATCTTATGAAAATTCTTCTCTCATTTGAGAAGAGGCCTATCCAGGAATTGCCAAAAATTTTAAAACGTTGTACAAACCTATTACTGGTTCAATTCCATGTAGGAAACACTGAGTTGCCTGGAAGGGAAGAGTCATGTAGTCATAGCGGACTTGTCTGAGTGATGATGTCAGGACGGAAGTTGTTCCTCCTACATCCAGCAGCACAACTAGTGACACATTATCCACTGTATTCAGTACTTGACATCTCATCCACTGTCCTTTAATCTGTGCCACACACACTGTCCCATCTGCCAGTGAAATATTCCTATTTACTATGAAAGTCAGTTGAATCTTTTTTTTTTGTTTTGTTTTGTTTTGTATTCCATGAATTGGCCATATCCCACCAAGGGAGGGTGACCTAGAAACAAAAACAAATACAAGAACAAATGTTTTTCTTCTTAAATTTAGTAATTTATACAGGAGAAGGGATTACTAGCCCTCTGCTCCCGGCATTAAATAAAAATACCTAAAATTTAAAATTTATTTTAACTTTACCTAGTAATCAATTACCTTAGTAACCAATACTGTACAACAATCAATTTTCATTTAAGAATGAAATACATATCAGGGCTGTAAAGTCACAGTCATGGAGACAGAGTCAGAAGCAATTCTTGGGTTACTGGAGTCGGAGTTGGAGACAGTAAAATGTAATTAACCCTTTGAGGGTTTCGGCCATACTAGTACGGCTTACGACCCAGGGTTTTTGACGTACTAGTACGCCTAAATTCTAGCGCCCTCAAATCTAGTGGGAGAAAGCTGGTAGGCCTACATATGAAAGAATGGGTCTATGTGGTCAGTGTGCACAGTACAAAAAAAGTCCTGCAGCACACAGTGCATAATGAGAAAAAAAAAACTTTGACCATTTTTTGGGAATAAAACACCGACTTTGCACTGTATTTTCGTATGGTATTTATTGTTGTATTCTAGTTTTCTTGGTCTCATTTTATAGAATGGTAGATATATTACAGAAATTGAGATGATTTTGACTGGTTTTACAATGAAAAGTACCTTGAAATTGAGCTCAAAATAGCAGAAATGTTCGCTTTTTACCAAAGTTCAAAAGTAAACAAATCATGCCAAGCGTCCAATACACGTCAACTGGTGAGTCTAATATTCTTTTGCAAGTGCACCAATATTATTTATACCATTTTTACACTAATGCAGTAGTCTGCATAACAGTAAATCTTCTATTTTTTGCGAGAATAAAAATTCAAAGTGGAAAGCTAAAGAATGTAAAAGGGGCCTTGGGACGTGACTAATGAACAGAGGAAATGTCATTTTAGTGCCAGGAATGTCTTTCTTGTTTATTCTGGACCCTATTCGGAAATTGGCATCTTTTGAAATTTGTGTGAAGTTGACAAAATTGCTAAATTCTGACCACTGTACTGGATAGCTGAAATTGGTAAATGGGTGGTTTGTTGCACTCATTCGATAGAAAAAATGAAGTTCTAGAGAAATATTCATGTTTTTTGTTGACTAGTACAATGGATTTGGAAAAAATAGGGCTCAAAGTGGGCAAAATCGCCGAAGCGTAAACATCGCCGAGACCGCTAACTTTGCGAGAGCATAATTCCATAAGTTTTCCATCAAATTTCATACTTTTGGTGGCATTATGATCGGGAAACAATTCTCTATCTTTTCAAAAGAAATTTTTTTTTTTTTTTTTTTTAAATTTGGCCGACCCTGAGAACAAGTCTCGGAGAGGGCCTGTCGACCCTCAAAGGGTTAAAGGAATCAGAGGTGCCATAAATAAAGGAGTCGGAGTCGAAGGTTTTATATGCCAACTCCACAGCCCTGTTGACAGCAACCTGCCTGAGGACAATGAAGCAGTAGAGTTGAATTTCAAGACTGCATTTAATCTCCTGAAAAGAGATGTGGTATTAACTAGGGCTGTGGAGTCAGAGTTGGAGTCAGAAGCAATTCTCAGGTTACTGTAGTTGAAGTGGGTAAAATTTAATTAAAGCAGCCGGAGTTGTCATAAATAAAGGAGTCAGAGTTGAAGGTTTGACATGCTGACTCCACATTATTATTATTATTATAATCAAGGGGGAAGCGCTAAACCCGTAGGATTATACAACGCCTTGGGGGGGGATGTGAAAGGCATTCAGGCTTAATTCGGGGAACTGGAGCACAGATCCAATTCCATAAATCAAGAGCCCCTTGCCAACATCAAGGAACCTTCCCTGAGGGGGCCGACTCCACAGCCGATATATATCTTTAAAATATGATTATTTTGCACCCTTCCAGAGTGTACGCACTGCTCTTACCACCTCCTGGACTGTAATCAGGCTACAAGAGGGCTCTGTTTTATGGCGCTTCACCTTACAGAGATTCGCCAATACGGACATTTCAAATAACGAAAAATTCATTTATACGGCTCCCGGATTTGCTATTACAGTATCCATGTGCCACACTTTATATCCTCCGTAAGTTCCACATCTCTTGATTATGTATGGAAACTATCCAAAATTTTAAGTGTTTCCAAGTTACTGCGTATTTTATACATACAACTTCTCCTTACTTAGCAACGTACTCACTTACCGATGCCTCGGACTTACAACTGGCTCTCTGACCAGTATTTATACCTAAATAATGTATATTAGAGTTGATTTCCTCTATTCTGTTTATTTCAATATACAGTACACTACTATATAAACATTTAAAAATATACCAGAAACTTTATAAATGGTGCAAAGGTGACATTGAAACAATATCAAAGATGGCTGACACAAACCCACTACCATTACAGTATGCTCCTCACTTAGCGATGAATTCGTCTAATGACGTGGTCTTAGGAACAGAACTCTGTCGTTAAGTGAGGAGAGGCTGTACTCTCATAATTATACTTATCCTAGGTAGTAGGTTGGTAGACAGCAACTGCCCAGGGAGGTACTATCGTCCTGCCAAGTGAGTGTGAAACGAAAGCCTGTAATTGTTTTACATGATGATAGGATTGCTGGTGTCTTTTTTTCTGTCTCATAAATATGCAAGATTACAGGTACGTCTTGCTACCTCTACTTACACTTAGGTCACACTACACATACGTGTACAAGCATATATATACACACCCCTCTGGGTTTTCTGCTATTTTCTTTCCAGTTTTTGTTCTCGTTATTTCCTCTTATCTCCATGGGGAAGTGGAACAGAATTCTTCCTCCATAAGCCATGCGTGTTGTAAGAGGCGACTAAAATGCCGGGATCAAGGGGCTAGTAACCCCTTCTCCTGTATATATTACTAAATGTAAAAGGAGAAACCTTCGTTTCTCCTTTTGGGCCACCCCACCTCGGTGGCATACGGCCGGTGTGTAAATATGTAACATTTCGAGTATGTCTTGTTACTTCTACTTATACTTAGGTCACACTACACATGCATGTCCAAGCATATATATACATACCCTTCTGGATTTTCTTCTATTTTGTTACTAGTTCTTGTTCTTGCTTATTTCTGCTTATCTCCTGGTCCATGGGCTAGAGGAGAGGAGTTGTATTAGGAGGCAAAAACTTCACTGTGATAAAATGAAACTCCTCCACCATTTGCTCTTCCAAGTCTGGAGGATGAGCAGGAGCATTGTCCATTAACAGGAGGCACTTGAGTTCCAATTTGTTTTCCAGGAGGTATTTCTTCACAGTGGGGCCAAACACTTCATTAAACCAATCAAGGAAAATTTCCCTTGTGACCCATGCCTTACTGTTAGCCTTCCACATCACACACAATTAACTCTTGGTGACACTGTTTATCTTGAACACTCTGGAATTTTCAGAATGATAGACCAGTAAAGGCTTCACTTTACAATCCCCACTAGCATTACTACAAAACATGAGAGTTAGCCTGTCTTTCATAGGCTTGTGTCCTGGGAGTGCCTTTTCCTCCTGAATGATGTAGGCCCTCTTCGGCATTTTCTTCCAAAACTGGCCTGTTTCGTCACAAATGAACACTTGCTGATGTTTGAATTTTTCAGTGTCTATGTACCCCTTAAACTCCTGCACAAACTTCTCAGCCACCTTTTAGCCTGAACTGGCAGCCTCACCATGCCTTACCACACTGTGTATGCCACTACGCTTCTTAAATCGCTCAAACCAGCCTTTGCTGGCCTTAAAATCACAAACATCACCACTCATTGCAGGCATTTTCTTGACGAGGTCGTCACGCAACTACCTTGCCGTTTCACATATTATCAACTGCATAATACTATCTCCTGTTTTTGGGTAATCCACAACAACAACCTCTCCACTTCTTCAAGGGTTTGCAATCTCTTTTTTGTCAGCATATCTACCCCTTTTGCAAGAACAGTACACTTAATTTCCTTTCCCTTTGCCACGATCGAAGTGATGGTTGGATGGGGTTTGCCATACATCCTGGCATGCTCTTTAACACACATTCCACTCTCATATTTTTCAATGATTTCTTTCTTGAATTCGATCGTGTACCTCACTTTCTTTACCAAAGGGCTGGCACTAGCTTTCCTCGGGCCCATGGTGACTTATTAAGCAGTTGCAAGCACAAAAAACAATGGATTAATATGAAATGTATCATATGAACCCGTGGGGTGATGATCACTCGCTGGTAAACAATGCCACACTGAGTGTGAATGGTTCAGGAGACTGGCTTTGTAAGCACGCTGATGGCGGATGTGTACCAGATGGTCACCGAATCACGAGGCCAATCACAAACCGCAAGGCTATATTTTGGCAAAAAAAGTTGCTGAAAGTCGGATTTCACAAAAGTCGCGGCCGCTGAGCAGCAGGGGTTCACTGTATATTACATTATTATAGACATTTTCATTAACCCTTTCAGGGTCCGTCCCATAGATCTACGGCTTTACGTTCAGGGTCCAAACCGTAGATCTACGTCATGAGCTCAGCTCACTCTGATAAACTGTGAGTGGTACATTTGGGCCTAGATATGAGAGAATACATCTATGTGGTATGTGTGCACCACATAAAACAGATCCTGCAGCACACTGTGTATAATGAGAGAAAAAAAACTGAAATCATGATTTTTCGATTAAAACAGCAACTTTTGCAGTGTTTTTTCGTATGTTTTTTATAGTTGTATTTGCGATTTCTTGGTCTCATTTGATAGAATGGAAGACACATTACAGAAATAGGATGATTTTGATTGGTGTTAGCACTGGAAATGGCTTGAAACTGAGCTCAAAGTAGCAGAAATGTTAAATTTTTGCCGATATTCAAGAGTAAACAAACGACCTCACACGTCTAATACACGCCAGCTGGTGGGTCTAATATGCATTCACAAATATGGTGATGATATTTATACAATTATTACAGTATTGCATAACAGTAAATCTTCTATTTTTTGGTGTGAATAAAAATTCATTATGTGAATAA